CTTATACACACACGACTCCCTGGATTTGTTTCTCTAGTCTACCCGGACTAACACAGCTTGTGCATTTGATTTTATACAATTGTCCCCCAGAGTAGAATCATGATCAAGCTTTTCCTTAGCTGGCTAAATATGAAAGCACACTTGATAATATTTATCACATGATAGTCCAAGGATGGAAAGAACAGTGAGAATATTATCTTTAAACACTATTGACCAGAGATAAACACACATCTTGCTTCCTTTGCTCCAGGAACTATAAAATATATTTAAGAATGAAGACACCTCACAGATTATTGTATAAAACACCAGAAATGTTTTGGAAATAGAGTTTGAAACAAAGAACTAAGCTTCCAGTTGGGTAAAAAAGAGAGAAAGGAGTTTACTAATCGTTCATTAATAACCTGAATGATTAACAGCAGCTAAATTTTTAAAATAATCCTTTGTGGTTTATTATTTCATGCAATTATCTGAAACAGGGGTCAGCAAATGATAACCTATGGGCCAAATCTGGCATGCCACTTGCTTTTATAACTGACTATTTAAGGTAACACAGCTTTAGGGTGTTTGAAAGCATCCTCAGCAAAGCCAGAGTTAAGTATCTGTGACATGATTTACATGGTTTACAAAGCCTAACATATTTACTGTTTGTTTTTTTGGAGAAAAAATAAAGGTTACTGGATTTTTCTTTACAGGAAACATTTACAGAGCCCTGACTAAAGTATTGAGCATTGAATTTATGTTTTAAAAAGAGATGGTAAGACAAGTGCTGGGCGCAGGCATTTGAGACTTTGCCTTCTTGAGTCCCTCGTGCTGCGAAATGGGTCATTTCTTCTGGAAAAAATTACCATACTCTAACAGAATGCAATTTGAACAATAGCTATTATTCCCAGCCCAACAACTCCAATTAATGAGTTTTTAATCAAGTGAGTATTTTAAAGATCTAAGGGTAGAAAATATTTACTAAACCCGCCCAAAGATCCAAGTGATTGCCTTGTGGTTTCATCTTAATTATAATATTTTTTAAAGAGGCATATATAGTTTGACTTTAGACTTCTCAAAAAAAGTATGCTTACAGTTTTCTGCCTTTCTCACATATCCACCATTTCTTGTCCTCGTGTTGTCTCCAGAAATGATGCTGTTGTTGTTTTGATAGGAGGAATCCAGAAGGAAAGGAAGTCAACATGTGGTTATTTAAGCCAAAACTTTAGTTTGAGAAGAGTAAAGCTTATTAAGAGAAGCAAGGATGGTAGAAACAACAAGGTCAACTCTAAAGGAAGTAGAGAATTCGTGCTACAGTAATAAATTGAAAAGTGATGGACTATTCCAGGTTCCCCATCAATTAAGTACGAGTCACCTAAACTGCAGCTCAGGAAGATATATCGGTTGATGCACTATACAGAATTGCCTATGAGGGACTTGGGATGAGAGAATTGGACCAACGGTGACCACAAGTTGAAGATCAGAGTCATCTTTAAGCAAGAGCTAGGTTGTAGTCACACCAACTTCCTCAGATCCTCCTCCTCCGCTGTGCAAGATCCTACTTTATAGGAAAAGTTTATAGAAGACTATTTGGGCTATACTCAAAGCCTATGGAGTCAGGTGATTGGACTTCGTAGCTTAAAAACGTACCAAGAAAATAAAAGAAAAGGAAAAGGTTGTACACTAGGGACTGAGTGGGAGATCTGTCACGAAAAGGTCCGTTTTCATGGAGAGGATTGACTTTGGAGGGTCAGACTTTGGAAAGGAAAAGGAAATGAGATCTTTAAAGTCAGAGTTCACAATCTCTGCCTCATGTAAGAAAAAAGATTATGTCTGTGTGCTGCTTGGCAGAAGCGGTGAGGCATAGGGGGAGGGTTGGTCTGACCATTTATTTGCCTTTGCTCTACTAAGAGGTCCTCTGGGATGTACCTGAGGGGCATCTCGAGGAGGTATGGCACCATCTGCCATCCTTGTAGGTGAGGTGTCACCAGCTATCTTTTCTTGTGTGGGACACTGGCACAGGCTCATGGTGGCTAATTATTTCCTTTGGAGTTCAATTCCAGGACTGCTGTTGTTAGGTGCCATTGATTTGGCTCTGATCCATAGCAGCCTAGCCTCTTGCATAACAGAGTGAAACACTGCACGGCCCTGCGCCATCCTGACCTTACCATGCCTGAGCCATTGATGCCCCGACTCATCTGTCTTATCAAGGGCTTCCTCTTTTTTGCTGAGCCTCCACTTTAAGAAGCATGATGTCCTTCTCCAGGGACTGGCCTATCCTGAGAATACGGCCAAAGTATGTAAGATGAAGTCTTGCCATCCTTGGCCCTAAGGAGCACTCTGGCCTTACTTCTTCTAGGACAGATTTGTTTGTCCTTTTAGCAGTCCATGGTACTTTCAATGTTCTCCAGCACCACAATTCAAATGCATCCATTCCTCTACTGTCTTCCTTATTTAATGTCCCACTTTCACATGCATATGAGGCATGAGCTCCACTAAGAATGAACAATAAAGAAGAATTTTTGTGAAAATCAAAATTCACAGTCTCCTGTATTTTATCTAACTACCCTATTCCTACTTGTTTTTATTTGAAGTGAGGTTAGCAGATGGTGTGGAGTAGAAAAACTCTTACATACATATATGTACACAACACACACACACACACACACACACACACACACACTAAGAAGTCCCCCCACTAGAAAGCCCAAACAATTTAAATGTTCTCCTCTCCCCATTTAGGAAGAAGACACTGCTGGAAACCTAATGCATACCTTCAAAACATCGTCGTACCCAGAAGGCCTGATGAATGGAAGCAGCACATTGTTGGAAGAGAATGGGGCTCTCCAATTTGAGGGCACTCAAAATATGACTGAGGAGGAGCTGATTTCTCTACGTGGAGTTGACCATGGTAACATGAGTTGAGTAAAGTCTGTGGGAGTGGGGGCTGTTGGATCTTCTTTTGCTGATGGGGCACGACTCAGGGTAAGGAGAAACAGCTGTAACAACCTGCTGATGGTTGGAACTTGGAATATACTAGTATGTCTCCAGGGAAATTGGAAATGGTCAAAAGTGAAATGGGATGCATGAAAACCAATATTCTAGGTATCAGTAAGCTGAAGTGGATTGGTGTTGGCTATTCTGAACCAGAACATCATATGATTTACTGTGCTGGGAATAACACAATCAAGAGGAATAGCATGGCACTCGTGGCTAAACCAGATATTGCAAAATCCATCATGAAGCACAGTGCTGCCTGTGATAGGGAAAACTTCATGGCTTAAAATCAGGAAAGGTGTGTGACAGGGTTGTGTCCTTTCACCATTCTTGTTCAATCTGTATACTGAGCAAATAGTCAGAGACGCCGGCTTATAGGAAGAAGAATATGGCATCAGGGGTAGAGGAAAGCTTATTAACAATCTGTTAGGATGTTACTTTGAGAACTAAGGTATTTCTGACCCAAGGCATGGTGTGGCAGTTACATAATCTCCTGTCAATTTGAAAAGGGGTGGAGTCTAGCCTGTCAATCAGGTCCCAGCTTGATGACCTCATTTGGAGGTGGGACAGATACATAGCTCACTGGAGGCCAGATAAACACACTCTCTCTTTTCTTCTTCCTGCGAGACATTGCTGTCGACAAGCCACATGGAGCTATACGGATAGAGCCAGAGCTCTGGAGCTGGAGAAGCCATGTGGAGACTCACAGCCAGTGCTGAGATGCTTCCACCACCACTGGATCCATAAGACTTTCCACCCACTGGCCTGTGCTCTCCCTGCAATCAGCATCATTGCATGTGTTGCATGAGTCAGAAGAGGAATTTATAAACTGGTATTGGACATATGGGCTAATATCAGACTTATGGACTTGAACTGGACGGAGTGGGATGTTTTCTTAATATACAATTGCTCTTTGATATAAAGTTCTCTCTCACACACATATGAGTGTCTCTGGATTTGTTTCTCTAGTCAACCCGGACTAACACACATGGTATTTTTAATGGCCTCATATGCATCATGCCAAGTAAAACAAAGGAAGACCCTTGAGTAGATGGATTGACACAGTAGCTGCAACAATGGGCTCAGGCATAGGAACAATTGTGAAGATGATGCAGGATCGGGCAGTGTTTAGTTCTGCTGCGCATATGGTTGCTATGGGTTGGAACTGATTCGCTGGCTCCTAACAACAACATAGATGGCTCATTATGTTGATTGAATTGCAGCCAGCTAGGGATAGAATTAATTGGGGGAGAGGAAGAGAATAATGCTTCTCCTTAGGGACACAGTCTAGAAATTATACACATAGCAAAAAGTAAATCAAATGGCCATTTCTAACACAATGAGAAGTGGAATAGCTTACAGTATATTGTGTAGACACTGATTCAGGTAAAACAAAGATTTTATTATTCCTGAAGAGTAATATTATGTGCCATCTAGAACGCTGTGAGTCAAAATACACTCCATGATAATCAGTGTGCTTGGGATTTCTGTCACAGATACAGATAGGTTTTTATGTTTGAACAATGGCCAAAGACCTTTCTGTGGGTGGCCAGATATAGAGGAGCCCTGGTGGCACAATGGTTGAAGCACTCAGCTGCGAACTATCTCACAGTAGCCAATAATTACCCCGTATGTACTACTGCACAAAACAATTCTCAATTCTCATCTAAAATAAAATTTTAAATAGTTATCTTATTTTTTCATTTGCTGAATCTGGAAACCCTAAGAAGTCATTTATTCCTCTGCTGTATATGACTGATTCTGGCTACATTCTTAGTTAAATCTTTGCTATTTTTTTAAATGTGTATACATCCTTTGAGTTTCAAACCATAATGGGAATAAATTTTCAAACTTTTATATGATTTTTCCATTTTCCATTATGAATCTCTCATTTTCTTCTAAATTATAACAATTTTGAAGGGTTGCATTTTTATTTGAAATATAATCAATGGATAGAATATACATACCAGTAACATAACAAAACCAAAGTGTTGACAATTAAACATAATATACAGTGTGGGGCAGAACAATGAAAGAACTACACATTTTATTGTATACAGTGTCCATGAATATCTTCTTAGAATCACATGCAAAGAAAGTGTGATTGAGCAATTCGCATTAGTGCAAACTGTTTACACTATCGAATGATTAAGCAATGCATACTATGTATGGGACTACAACTTCAAAATACTCAAAGAAACTATCTCACAGACTGGTTTACTGTTTGATAAGTGGCTTTGTTTTACAACAGCCTCTCAATAACCCAGTCGAGCAAAGCAACAAGAGGCCCGTTACAGGCAAAAGCAATTGCAGAAACGCATACTTTGTTATAGTAGCACCATCCCCCCTTGTTGTATGCACATGTGTTCTATTGCACCTTCCTGAGTTGAGCTTTGAAATTGGCCGTCACACACAAGCCTAAAACGAATGCATTCACCCCAGGCTCAGCCTTCACTGGTTATAGTAATAATTATGAGCGTCATAGCCATCATAGCCCTGCCCTTTAAAGTAGCTGTACTCATCCTCATAGGCTCGGTAGTTGTCCCCGCGGGGCTCCCCATTCTCATTTTCGTAGACCTCATATGCATTGTCGTATTCACCGGTGCCTGTTTGTTCGTACTCGTTCTCGTAGCCGTTCGTGGTGGTCTCTACCAACGGTGGGGCGGTGGTCTCAGAGATCTCCTGTGGGGGGCCGGTAGGGTCAAAGCCACCATTTGGAGAGGTGGCTGTCTCCGAACCACCTGCTTCCTCTTCTGCAGCCACTGGGGTTCCCTCTGCCCGGGCTGTTGTGGCGCTTTCTTCTGCCTCTTCTCCATTGTCGCCGCCACTGCTACCCCGGCCATGTTCTGCATCCGTGCTGTTTGTGCTTGTGCCGTTGGTGCCTTGTCCGTTCACATCCACTTCTGCCTCATTTTCAGACTCCTCCTCTTCCTCCTCCTCCTCTTCTTCGCTTTCTTCCTCTTCGGAAACTTTGTTTCCTGCCTGTCAGGAAAAGTTGGGAAGAATCTGAATCAGCATGTAGACAATTTTAAATTTAAAGCCATTATGTACTCAAACACTGACTGCTTTGGTCTAGATGTAATTTTTCTTTTTTAAAAAAAATTTAATTTTGTATTAATGTAAAATCCACTTACAAAAGGATTGGTGGGCTTTGAAAATTCTAAGTAAGTATTGTTTTCCTTGGGATTTGTTGGTGGGAAACGTGCCTAAAAAGCTTCTGTGGGAAATGTTTTCTATTATTACTTTTTAATTTTTATAGTGAATTAGATGGGGGGAGGCTACATTTTGGATCATCATTTTTGAATTCAACAATTTAAATAGCTTATCCCATTTCCCAGTACTCTTCCCTGTCCCTCATGCTTCCATTTTTCTCCCTCTTGTGAATAGCTAACATCTCTCACCCTCTAACCTATTGATTCCCCTGCCATCTCTTTCCTCCCAACTCGGGGAACCTTCAAAGCCTGTTACTTTTGGTAGAAAAAGTCTTTTATCTTGTTTTTTTCATTTTATAACAATGGTCTCATGCACTCTTTGCATGAGATTGTAGATTGTGATTGATTAACTTTACTCAGAATGAGATCCTTCAAATCTATCCATGTTGTGATATATTTCACGCTTCCATTATTCTTCGGTGATGCATAGTATTCCATCAAGTGCATGTACCAAAGTGTTTATCCGTTCTTCCACCGATGGATATTTAGGTTGTTCCTAGCTCTTGCTATTGTGAGTAGTGCTGCGATGAGCCTAGGCATGCATAAATCTGTCACTGCACCATCTGGTATGTTCATGCCATTATTGGAACTTCCTATTCCTTTCACGCTCACTTTTTCTACCTTGGGCACCAAAGAGACCACATTTCCTCATTTTTTCTCCATTTTTTAGATGCTTGTCCTCAGTCCAATATATAGAAAGCCAGTGTAGTAACACAAAGAAGAAGACTTGGCTGGGTTAATATGGTTTCTTCTTTGTAAACAGAGAAATTATACATGCCCTTACTTTTTCAATGATTTGGTGAAGCTATAAATATAGTTTGTACAGTGTGAGATAATCATAGATTTCCACAAATTGGGGGGAAAAATATTTAACTGAAGGATCATTACCTTCTTAGGAAGCTGGATTGCAGCTAACGCTATGCTCCCTGTCCCAGGTGTGGGCCCCTCTTCATAGGCAGCGGTTGTAGTTGACAGTGTAGAGTTCTCAGTAGAGTCTTCGTTTTCCTCTTCTTCATTTGAAGACTCCTGGTGAAAATATTCCCAGCAAGAAAAGCCATTGTAGTCTGAAAATAAACTCACGATTTCCTAGGGTTCTGTTGCATTATTGAAATAATACCCCTTACCACTAAAAAAGGGTAAATCTGCTTTCCTCTTATACCATAGTGCAATGCTCACCACTAAGAACTCATGCAAAGCCATGTCACCCTAGTTACTGTAGACTGTTAAAACTAGCTACATAATTATTTCTCCATACCTGATTGTATACTGTCATACCATGCATCCCTCAGCTCTCAGATTCTTACTAATACAAATCACAACCTAATAGTAAATTAATTTTTATATTTTTGACAAATAAACAGAGAATTTTACACCTGTTTTATAATGTATTCCTGACAGCAGCCCTCAAAGGTAGAATATACTAGTTGGGCCCTGTAGCCTCATGTCAGAATCTGAGGTCAAAGGGTAAATGACTTGTATGAGATCAGGTAGATGGCAGCTCATTAGTGGCAGACTCATAAATAGAGCCTTGATCTTCCAACTCCTAGACTTCTTTATTGTGTCCTAAAACACCATTTCTCTTCCTAGAGAGTGAGTTCAGAGATGCCCTGCCTGTAATGAGTTAAAAGAGATAATAGGTCAGTCTCTTGATGGCCACTAAGTTTCAAATACCTTATTGTCATAGTAAATTAGCAATAATTTATGATTTAAAAGTTATGACATAGTGGGTTACTTGTTGGGCTGTTAACCTCAAGGTCAGCAATTTGAAACCATTGGCTGCTCCACAGGAGAAAGATGAGGCTCTCTACTCACATAACCATGCACAGGCTCAGAAACCCAGGGACAGTTCTACTCTGTCCTATAGGCTCACCCGGAGTCAGAATTGACTTGATAGCAGCACGTTGCTGTTTCTTTGACTTAGCAAATAAGTTCATTAAAACAACAACAAGAAAAAGTTGCCTTTAAGTCTATCTTGACTAATGAGATGTGTGTCAAAATAGTATTGTGTCCCCTCTGGTTTTCATAGGCTGTGATGCTTTGGAGGGGGATCTCCAGCCCTTTCTTTGGAGGCATCTCTGGGTGGGTAGTTGGCATTTAACCATCTGAATTTCCCTGGTGGAAATGACTGATGGAAACCAGCATTGGTGAAAATTCAGGTCAACTAAAGACCTCATACATTGATGGTGGAAATTTCCATCAGTGAAATTGCTTTAGGAAATTGTGTATTCACACATTCAGATGCAGAAATGTTCCTCCTAGGTAAGATACCCCCTCAGAAATGAATGCATATATACACTCGAGTAAGTACTAAAATGTTCATAGCAGCACTATTTCCAAACTTGGGAATTACATAAAATGTCCACTGATGGAATAATAATAATACATTGTGGTGCATTCATACAATAAAATACGGACAATGAAAATGAAGGGCAGAACTATATGGGTGGATCTTTCGCAGTTGAGACAGAAAAACTCACGCACAAAAGAATCCATGCTGCACAATTCCATCTATGTGACATACAGGCAAAAGCAATATCCGTTAGAAGCCAAAGCAACAGTTGCCCAATTGGAGTTGGTTAATGAACGGAATGAGGCATAGGATGTGTGTTTCTGTTTGATGTAGGTGCTGGTTGCACGTTTGTGTTCAGTTTCTGAAAAGTCAGTGAGCGGTATACTTATAAAAATAGTGTTCTATGTATTATAGTCCAATAAAAATTTTAAAGCTACTTTGAATTGATTAGGATTAGGAATAAAGTACAAAATATTTCCAAGTGTATTTCATTTGCTTATATGAATACAATTACCAAGGGCTCTGTACTCCGCCCAAATCACCTATGGAATTTAAGGAAAGAAATGGGTGGGCGAAGGTTTTAGAGAACTTCTTTAAATGGAATATTCAGTTTTGCTTATGTAAGTTCTTAATATCATTTTCAAAGAATGATCTGTGGAGCATTTATTCCGTTGAAATTTTAAAATCAAACTACCAAATATTCGCACGGGACCACATAGGGCCTCTAATAGGCAGTGTGAGGGCGAGATACAAAAGCAGATATAGCATCGTTCCTGCCCAAAGCAAAGGTCCCGATTCTTCTTGCGTATAGGAGAGTTGTAGTTAAATTATGGAAGGACCACAAATGTCCAGAAATTATTTACAATATTCTTGGGTGTATGCAAAATTCTTAAAGGAGACCTAATATTTCTCCATCTCCAACCTCTACTCACAATCAGTAAGGAGCCATTGCCAAAATGGTGTGCAGTCGATTGAGGAAATCGAGTTTACAAGACACTTTGACCGTCGCTGTACAGCAACCAGCTGCAATGAAATGAACCACCCTCCCTTACTTCTTAAGTCAAACTGTTCTGTGCAAAGTCAGGTGAGATGGGGTAAGGATTGACTAGGTGGTATTTTTCCTGGTACTAGCTTGCTGTCCTTGTAAAGCCTTCCTTCAATGGATTACAATAAATTATGGTACTTTTGTGGTTAAAGGAAATAAAAGACCCCAAACAAAAACAACCTAACAATCTATGACCCTGAGAGTTCCCCAACACTGCATTTCAAGATGGCCAGTGTTCACCCGTAATTACGTTGTCTGTCATAAGTAGCACCCAAAATACCTGATTTCAGAATGGATACTATCGTTGACGAGTCAGGAAAATGGGTCCTATTTAATCTGTTTCCTTGGGTCAGCGTGTCAGTGGTGAAGATGCTAGCGTAACATTCCCAGGTTGTATAGATATGTTTTAGCCATTGATTACTTTGTAATACTATATAGATGTTTTCTAGCTCACTTATCTTAGCATCTTGAATATTTGCATTTCTGTGAGATCTTAAATTGTATTATTAGACAAAAAGGCAAATAAACCTTCTATTAAAAATAGAACAACTCTATTCTGTGGGTCAAGACAGATGAGCCAAAGCAATATCATAGTGGTTAGAGGGTCAGCTTCCACATACCACCCATTTAGCAAACGGATTGTTTTTAGAAATTCAGTCCCTAAAACCAACATGGCACTGCGTTTGGGATTTTTATTTATTTTTCTTCTATCACCATGTTCCATCTGTGAAAGATGTAAAAAATTACTTTTTCTTGCCTTTTATCAGAATTTACTCCCCTGATCACAACATATAGTGGAAACACTTTTGCTATTGTGCACCGCTTGCTGGTAACTTTGACCCCAACTACAGTGGAATGTTAGGCAAGTCATTTCAGTTGGCTTCAACTTAAATAGCACTCCTTGTTCAAAATAGAAGACAGTGGGCAGTGGGTAAACTGGCAACGGCTATTTTCTGAGCCCAGACTACAGTAGACTAGTTTCCTACTTGTTTGTGTGTGTGTGTGTGGATGTGTGTGTGCCACCTGGTATTTCATGGAGGAAAAAAAAATGACAGAAATACCATACCTCTCCTTCCTCCTCTTCTGAACTATCTTCGCCTCCATTTTCTTCAGATGAGTCACTACTGGTCTAAAAAATATGCAAACAGACACTTATTAAAGAAACAATAACTTTAAAACCAAACTGATTGCTATAGAATCAATTTTGACTCACAGCGAACCTTTGTGGTAGGGGAGCACTGTCCCGGGAGACAAACTCTGTGGGAATCGAATGCCTCATCGTTCCTGTGACGAGCAGCTCAACCACCTCACCAACAGGACTCCCATTAAATACATATTAAACAGCAGTTACATTTTCCTGCTGCTTGCCATAAGATAAAACACACACAAATATTTATGCATGCTAATTAACTGACTGGTTTTATCTAGTTTATTGTCAAGAACTTGATGGTTACTCCCCTAGCCCAACAAGTAACTGGAGCGGAACATTAAACTCAAGCCGTGTTATTTGTTAGTTGAATGGATATGACAGATGACAGTATATTCATACAGCCTGAGCTATTTTTTTCTCAGTGGGAATGCTTTTTGTCATGTACATACTTCCTCACCTCTTACCTTTCCGCTACCCTCATCACCTAATTCTTCAGTTAGTCTCTGCTGGGCTCACTGCTGTGGAGCTCATGCTGAGCAGAGCCATCTGACGGGAAAGAGTAGAACTGCCCCTTTGGCTTTCTGAGACTTTACATCCTGGCAGAAGGAGCAGACAGTCTTGCCCTTCTCCGGTTAAGCAGCTGGTGGGTTCAACCGCTGACATAGTGGTTGGCAGCTCAGTCGCTACCCCACTATATCACCAGGGCTCCTTGTAGCGCCTACAGGAAGAACTATTTTAAAACTGTGTGAAATGCCTTCAAGTTTGGACATTTCCATTTTCCTCTTTTTCCTTTATCCTGTATTATCAGTTTGTCACTAAGCACATTGCTCTTGCCATAAGCTCGTTCATGTGGACGAGTGTATAAAATTGGTGTGTGCGGGGGTGGAGGGGTGTTACCATTACGAACCCTTTACACTTCTATCAGTCACCTTTGGATTGAATAAATCCAAAATATACATTACAAATACTATACATGTGTTCCAGACTATAGATGATGCACACTGGGTGTATATCAAGTGGGGTGAAAGAGACCCTACTTTACAATCAAGATAATAGATTCAGAGAGATCAGTTTTAAAGCCCAAAGTAGTATCAATATGTCAAGATATTTTGATATGAGAAATTAGAGCAATAAATCATAAACTCATTTAACTCCGAGTGAATAAGGGCTTATCTGGCCTTTTTTTAAAAGAGAAGGAATTTCACAGAGAAGGAATCTTAAATCTAGAAGAACTCTGAATTCTCCAAACAGTTCGTGCAAGCATGGGTTGAGATACAGAGCACATTGTTCCATCTTCTCTTTCTAAGATAAGCGCAATAGTGATTAGGCTTATTATAAAGTATACAGAGTTACCACGAGATTATTTTAAATAATAAATTCTCCTGATAAATTTAAATGCAAATTGCATTTAAAGAAGTTAAATTTATATATACTTTATAGGACTTTAAAATCTATTGTACCTAAGCAATGGAGCCCTGGTGGCATAGTGGTTACAGTTTGGGCTGCTAATCGCACAGTCAGCTGGTTGAAACCACCAGCCTGCTGCAAGAGAAGGACAGGGCTTTCTACTCCCAGCGCCATGAGTCTCAGAAACTCACAGGGGCAGTTCTACCCTGTGCTGTGCTGTGGGGTGGCTGTGAGTTGGCATCCACCGATGAGAAATACCTAAGTAATAAGATTAAAATGAATGCCTAAACAAACAAACCCCAAGTTGATCCTCAATCTGAGTGATCATATTTTAGGATACAGTAGCACTCCTCTCTAGAGACAACTGGCCCTAGGGTTTCCAAGGCCCTGGCTCCATCTTTCTCTCCAGGAGCAGCAGGTGGGTTTCAATCGTCAGCAGCCTGGCACTTCACCTACTGAGCCTCCTTAAGAGCTAAAGTGAAGTTTGTCTGTAGAGATGAGGTGAGCGTTATATCAAAGCACAAGGGACGCATATACTTATTTAGGAGAGGTGTACTGCATGGATAAATTTAACCAAGGATTCAGTATATAAAAATTTAATTAAAACTCAGTAAGTTGGGGTACTTTCAGAAATGTAAATCTCAATCTCAATGTGTTTCCAGAGCATTGAAGACAGGAAAGATTAGTTGTTGTTCTTCCAATCATAAGCCAAATTGGATTTTCTCTCTCTTTCTCTTAAAACTACCCCTAATCACAATAGGTAACTCAAATGGACCCCCGATGTAAGATTTTGTCACTTCCTGCAAATCTTACTTTTGATTCTGATGACCCCGTTAAAGCCCCTACTCTGGAAAACATCAGCAGTCAGATACGGCAAACCCTTCCTATCCCAGTCTTGCTTGGGCTCACTTTTTAGTTGGCACGTCAGCCACCCAAGGAGAGGGAATGCTGTCTCCTTGAGCCAAGAATGACCTTGAGAGGAAAGTGAATTGTTAGACTTGCTCTGCCACTGCCATGAGCTTCATGGTTTTTCCTAGCCCAGAGGCTGAATGAAGCAAAATAGTACATTTGAACCATGGTATAGAGGGCAGTATATTGATGTAGCCTGAGCTGATTCTTAAATTGCAAATGCTTTTAGTCACTTTATATATTCCCCTTCTCTTACCTTCCTCCCTACAGTCACCATGTCATTAATTCCTCAATTAGGGCCTACAGTAAAAATTACTTTAAAATGTGTGTGAAATGCCTTGAAATCTCGACCTCTTCTTTTCTCTTGCTTATCTTTTACTACTAGCTTGTCACTAAGTTCTCTTGCTTTTTCCAGAGGTCTTGTGCATACACGAGTATATAAAATTGGAGTGTGTGTGTTTTATCATTACGCCGCTAGACTCCCATCACCTTATTTTAGATTAAATCAATCCGAAATAATGCATTTCAGCTACTGTAGTGGTAAGAGAATAAGTGTATCAGGAGTCTAGCATTGTGATAACTGGGGTGAAGTAAATAAAAGTTAGTAAGTTTACAACCAATATAATTAACACAAATTGCCTTTTAAATATTATTATAAATACTAATTAAATTTGAATAGAATATGAATCTCAAAGCAAATATGGCTTAATATATTTTGGGTTGAAGATGTTGGCACTAAGTTGTATACATATAAGGAGTCCTGGATGGGGAGGCGGGGCTTGCATTGAGCTTCTTGCTAACTGTCAGACTGGCATTTTAAACCTTCTAGCCAGCCACTCCCTGAGAAATGACTAAAGATTTACAGACTTGAAAAATCCTTTGTAGGGTCTCTGTGAGTTGGAATGAACATGATGGCAATGGGCTTTTTGTCGTATAAGTACATTTTTAAGATGCCCTCATGTGGTAGTGGTTATGTTTTGGCCTGTTAGCCACAAAGTCAGCAGTTCGAAAACCACCAGCTGATCAAGGGAGAAAAAAGAGGCTTTGTGCTCCCATAAAGAGTTGCAGTCTAGGAAACCCACAGGGACAGTTCTCTCCTGTCCCATAGGTTGGCTGTGCATTGCAATCATCTCCCCGGTAGTTTTCAGGGAGCTTGGAGTTTTCAGAAGTATATTTGTAAAGACTTATGAGTAGACATATCTCTAAATATCTGATATTTTAGGAAAGTTGAAGGTCAAGTCAGAAGCTTGCATCTATTACCATTTCCATTGAGTTTAAGAAAGAAAGTGAAGCAGGTTTTCAAATGTGCTCTATTTATTTGTGGGCCTGAGGTGAACCAAGGATGGGAGACAATTCTGAGAACCCACAAGTCTTGTATCTTTTATGCTCATATTTCTGTGGTCACACATGATCCCCATAATTAGAATGGCGCTAGACATACTTTAAGATTATCATTTCCTATCATTGTCTGAGCTGGAGATTGGTTAACCCAACATATGGTGAGATACTCGGCCAAACCGCGGAGCTGAGACATTGTTTTCTAGATCTTGACTACTTTTAGTGTCTCTGAGTTCTGGTTCAAATGACGCATAATTGGTGCCCTGACCCAAACTGCATGGTAATAAAAATAGTGCTGTTCTGGGTCATTGTACATTTAAAACCAATATTCGGACACCCCATTTTCAAAGGCCCTCCGCCTGCCTATGTGACCCACAAAAAACTGAAATTCTTTGTTTTCAGTCGTGACTTCCTTTCTGTTTATACATTTTAAGGGCTATTTTATTTTTTCTTATAGGGTATTTAGTTGACTTCAGAAGTTTCTCATTTTCCTCTGCGGCTCTTGAGACAAGCTTCCATGATAAGTATATTCCAGTGAAAGACATAAAGCATTGTGGGTATTGGCATCTGAACTTCCTTAACTCTAAAAACGTACGCAGGTCAAAGTTTCAAAAAATCTTCACCAGTGATAGTAAGGATTTTTAAAAAAGTAATCTGTGTTGTCTGTGTTAAATAACTTTTCCTGTAAATTAAATAGCTCTAGATTACTGGATAAAACATAGCTGTATGATAGTATTGAGTCAAGGATCATGTGACAATTCGTGACCTTCCCACTGACAGAAGTATATGCCACTGATAAAAGGTTTCAGTCAGTGCCAAAGAAAAGAGAAAGGAACAAGAAAACCCAACAAACTCACTAAATCCATTAGAATTCTAAACCCATTAGAATTGTTTCTTTGAGTTTCTGAGGCTGTACAAATGGCCAGTCAAAATCATTTCACTTGATGTGCCATGTGTTTTGGTTTTCTTATGTCCTTCCAGACTGTACGAAGTGATTTTACTCTCTGTGTGTGCATCTGCTTTCAAAGAAAACTTAGAAGTAAATTTTATTTATATTGAAAAGAAGCCTTTTATAGAAGGCAATCTTTCCGGTTAAATTGAAGCGACAGGCAAGTTTAGGTGGCCTGTACTTAAAGTGGCTCCTTTTATAACAGGTCATAGTTGACTGTTGAGAAGAAGCACAAATCTTTCACTTACCTGAATTGGAAACCGTTTTAAAGGAGGGTAAAAGTAGGAATGCTTATAGAGGTAATAGTGTGGCCTGAACTTAAAGACCTGTATAAACAAAATAAATGAGATAGTCATGTTCAATGTGCAGTAAATACAAAGTGAAAAAAAAATTGGTCAAATTTTGCTAAAATTGCTAAAATTAATTACCCCATTTTGTCCAGAATCCTCTAATTTGGCTCTCTGATGCAAATTTTTCATCTGTTTTAAAGAGCATTTCATTATTACATAGCTTTCCTTTTACATAAAACAGACACAGAGGGAAATTACCGTAAACGTTTTCAGAAAACAACTTACCGAGAAAGCACAGGCCATTCCCAAAAGGCTCAGCAAAATTAAGGCCGTCTTCATTTTGGAGATTGTTTCTGGAATTAATAAAAAGGTGAGCTTACTGACTAGTAAAACCAAAGCATGACTGTCTTTCTCATTGCCCAGTGTGATGGTCTGTTTTTGTGTGTGGAGGCCTGGAGGCACGGGAGTTCAAGTGCTCGACTGCTCATGAATTGGTGCTCCCACAGGAGAATGCTGGGACAATCTACTTCCATCAAGCCTGATGGACTTGTAAACCTATCCCAAAGGAGACTATGAGTTGGAAAAAAATTAGAAATGGGTTTAGTTTTTGGTTTGGGTAATTTATGTGTATATAATTAAAATTTTGACTCACGTATACCAAGATACCATTTTATTTTGAAATTGTTCCTTTTATTAAAGTAGTATAAAATGTCCTTTACTCATTTAAATAATCTATTGCTCCAAGAGGCTTTGAATGCATAAAGTACCTTTGATTGCGGAAAAAGTGAGGTTTTGAAGCCACTGATTCAGGAAAACCGGTTAAGTGAATGGACTTGCTAGTGTAGTTATTTGCTTTGTTGTTCTTATGACTAAAACACAGCAAAAATCAATTCTATTTTAATGATTGCTTTTATACCAATTACCCTTCACGCAGTTTCCAGTTTATCTATAGGGTTTAAGTTAAACGTTCATTTATAAAATGGAGACTTTATGTAGATATAGTTTTCCTATGGACTACCTTGGATTATTTCATCTTTACTTTGAGGGGATTTATAATTTATGAAATGCAGCAACTATCAATGTAGGGGTCCTCATGGCATGGTGGGCTATGCATTGGGCTGCTAACAGCAAGATCAGCAGTTTGAAACCACCAGCTGCTATGGGGAAGAAAGACGAGGCTTTCTACTCCCATAACATGCTACAGTCTTGAAACCCCACAGGGACTGATCCCTCTTCTTTCTATAGGGTGGCTATGGCTTGCTGACAGTGAGTTTGGCTTTTGGTCTTTTCAGAATGTATGAACATCGGGGCATCGGGATGTCAGTGGCAAATTTCTTTCAACTACGTTGTTTGCTAGTTTCATTTAAGCTTCTGGAGAAGTGCTGGTGCCACTGTGGGTGTGGCACTGGACTGCTAACCACAGTATGGCAATTCAAACCTACCAGCCATTCGGCAGGAAGAAATGAGACTGCCTGCACCTGTAAAGAGTCACCATTTGGGAAATCCTACCGAGGGCCACTCTGAATCGGAACTCACTTGATGGCAGTGTGCTCAGTGGGTATACAACTAAGGATGACTATCCTGAGCTAGACTGCAGCACGTCTGATGTCAAGATGCCTGGCAGAGACAGAAGCTTCAATTGTATGGAATAATTGAAGATGTGTGGGATCACACTGTTAGACTCCTATAATAGTATCCACTCCATAATCTCTCCTGCTTCCACACAATCCTCCCAGTCTTGCTTTTCCCCGAAGCAGTCGAAGCATGAATGACTATGTTTTATCCATGTAGGAACAATTACTGGACAGTCCTGAGAATTGCAACCATGCAGAGATCCCCAGATTGATGCATATTACTCATCAACTGAAGGAGAGGGACAGTGACAGCCTAGGATACTTTAATTTTATACCATTTAATAAAGTTCTATTTAAGATTCTATTTTAGTTAAAGTGGAACAAACTTAGCTGAAAGGCTAATAATATCCACCCACTTGCATTCTCAGACACATTGAACTGACCGCTGTCTCATACGTAGTGACAGCTTGGGTCACTTCTTGCAAGCAGTATGTAATGATGGTGGCCACTTCTCTTTAAGCACACTTCAAAACCTAGTGTTTACAATCTAAGAAACTCATGCCATATATTGTATCCTGTCGGTGGAGTTTGCATTTTGTCATAGACCCTCAAGAGTTAATGCATCCCAACTGAGTACTTTCTACTGAAGTAAAAACATTGTATAGATTACTGCTTGAGACATGGAGGCACTAACTTGTAGCCTGAGCCACACTCTCTGTGGGGCAGAGTGGGTCTTCTCATTCATTGCCACCCTGCTTTCCTCACAGTCTCCTCGAAATTATAAAGTTTTTGATGGCTGCAAGAAGATAAAGTAGCTTTGCCCTTGATGGACTCTCATCAGTCTAAAAACACGGTGATAAGGGTACTTTGTATAATGCCTTACAAGTTGCTGTCTGTGTTTAAGCCCATCCCCAAAGAGGGACACCACATCTTTGCAGCTGCTTAAAAAGGTTGGGATAGTTAGAGTAGTTTAAAGAATTACAACTGTTAAAACAGACATTTAGAAAGAGTTTAGGTTATATAAGTATCTCATAACAAACCATAAAACTAAGCAGGTGACAACATGATACGGATAGTATCAAATGAACCAAGTGGCTTACTTTTTATTTTCTTGTGATTTCTAAAAACCAAAGACCTCCATAGTGACCACCCCCACCCCCAGACAACCATGCGAACATTCCTAAGGGATGGTTTTGAGAATTTAATCATAGGTTTATTTTGGGAAGAGTATGATAAACTACCAATGTGATTTATTTCTCTAGGACTCCTAGTTTTATACTGAATGCAGAGTTATAGAAAGCTAGCCCTTTGAAATCTAATATATGACATGTTGAAAAGACATCACATATAATGGACAGACAAGGCAAATTCTGGGGAAATATGCCTACATTTAGGTAGATTCACCAATTGCAAGGTAGTATTTCAGGCAGATAGTCATATTGCATCAAAATGGGTAAATGATGTGCAGAGATAGAAACCAGGGAGTATAATTTTCTATTTATGTGCACAACATTAACCTATTTACCTGTTAACAAGTTAAACCTCTTTGGAAAGAATTTGACATCCAACATACCAGTTCAATGACAAACAAGTATTAAGTAATATAGCCAGTCTCCACAATGAAATCTCATCAACATTTAGATTTTAAAAAATTCACAGTCAAGCCAGGAGCTTTGAGCTTAAGATATTGAAGCTGTCATGTGAAATCTTACCCTTTTCAGTCGTGGAGTCAAAAGGCAGCTTCCCAGGAAGGAGTGAGAGGACACAGATTTAATATTTCCCCTGCTCTCTCACTTACTCACCCACTGGCTCCTGCTGGCTATAAACTCTTCTTTGCCTCCCAACAGCCAATCACGGTCATGGTTAAGGTGATGTCAGAATATGGATTCTCACCAGAAAACCCCGAGACTTCAACACTCTTTCAAGACACAGGCTTAGTTGAATAAACATGAAATGCGGTTCTAGTGCCAAGAGGTTTGCATTGTGGAATTTAATTGAAGGTTCAGATGAAGATGAATAGTTTGAGTTCTGAATATATATATAATAATAGACTGTATTTGATTTAAAATAAACAGCAAAGGATTCCACTATCTAAACTTTTCTTAATTATACAAGTTCTCACTTTGTTAGAAAGAAAGGAAACTTCCTGCTAGTAAATATAATCCTATATTAGCTTAGTAAAAATAAGAAGAAACTAAATCATAATGATGAGGGAAAGGAGCTGATGAGTAGGCAATATTTCTTCCTGAAATATGCTGGGATGACTCATAAATTTAAATGGATAGGATTAAGTCTATCAAATTTGTAAGATCTATTTACTGAAATGCATTGTTGGCTCTGAGTATAAAAATTGGAATTTATATGGGCTCTGTAGGGGTGCTCATAAATTCTAACTTTTATACGCAGACCCACTAATGTAGCTCAGTAAATAGCTCTTACAAATGCATGAGGGCTTCGTAGGGTGGCAGGGAGCCCTAGCAGCGCAGCAGTTATGCACTGGGCGGCTAATCTCGCGGTCAGCAGTAGGAAAGCACCAATCCCAGGACAGAGACCAAACTTTCCACTCCAGTCAAAGGCTGCAGTCTCAGAAGCCCACAGGGGCAGCTCTACTCAGGCCTAGCGCCCATAGCAGTGAGTGTGCCATTAGGGTAGGGTTGCAATGACCCTATGACTCAGTCCTAGAGTCCCTAGCAGTGAGGTGTCTGGTGGCAAAATCAACATGATCTACTGGAAGAAAGAGAGAAGGAGACGCCCAGGATCACTACTGGATTTTTAACATGAGTGATCTTGTGAATGGGGGAATCATAACTCATGCAATGTCTAATGGAGGACCTCATAGGTTTTATTTGTGCAACAAATGCTTGTAATATGATATAATGAAAGAAATAGAGAACTGAGACGCAAGAAGATGGAAATGTCCTTGACTCTACCACTTTGTAACGCACTAAACCACCGGGAAGGCTTTCATTTGACCCATTTCTTAAAAATAAGGGTGTTTTCACGAGTATAGAAGGACAATGCTTTGTGTACCTTCATTACCCATAAGACACTCTGACTAAACAATTGAATGTAAATATGACAAGTGTCCGTTTTCACTGGGAGCAGAGGGACATGCACAGCGACACCACTAGGAAGCAATCAGGAAAATCCAGAGTGTGGGAAACGTTGCAAGACACATGATGTGATTTTTTTCAATTAGGAAGCACCACGGTAGGAAACATAGAAAAGAGAGAAGATTCATCTATAATTAGAAAACACTTCAGCGGCATATTTTAAAATATCTTAAAGTTGTTGGAGAAATATTTAATGCTAATCCTTTCATGATACTAACCTTATTATTGATTAGTTCTGGTTGCTTTATTTTTGTAAAAAGTCTTATGTTTTAGAGATTCATACTGAAGTATTCAGGGGCGAAAGCTTTATTTGTGATTGGGAGTAAAGATGAAAGCAGGTTGGTGATAAATCGATAATCAAATTGGTGATAAATCCAAAGGATTTGTTACTGGAAAGGGCTGGGAATGTCAAATCCCATCTTTCTTGGTTCTAGTCATGCTAGAGAGAAGAGGAAGACAGAAGAGAGAAAGAAACAAGTTGAAACGGAGCGAGTGAGTTTACTAAAGGACCATGGCTCACAGTTGTGCAGATGGGTGTCGCACCTAGTCTGAGGACATGCCACTACGTGGAAAGCAAAGATCTTTATCTGGCAGGTGGCCGATCTCTTTCTGCTGGCTTTTTGTAACATACCTCCCCGTAGCAGATGATTTGCATACACTTCAAGTTCATGCTATGTCCTAGTGGTCTGCCTAGGACCCTGCCTGAACTCTCCCTGCTACTCCAAAAGTTATTCCATCATTAGAGGGCAGGGGACCATCCCTGCTCCTATCACTACATACCTATTCTCCACCTCCCTTTGTGCTGGGGACCTATTGACAAGGGAAATGTGCCCATCACGTACTTCTGTGGTTCCATTGTCCCTCTCCCCCACTTACCCTGATGGGCATACTTGGCACCACAATTGAGAGGTTTACCTGTTCAAGCTTTGCCTATTTTTCCAGCAACAAGTTACGGTTTTAGAATTTTAGATAATCAACTATTATGTTGGAAGATGTACAACACATATAAGATAGGCTTTTTCTTAGAGTTCATAGTATAGTCAAAGCTACTTCTCTATCTACTAAATGGACTAGATTTATTCATGCTTGCTCATTAAAGGAAACACACCACAGATTCTTCCTAACTGATTTTCCTATAATCCAGGCTTTCTTAGCAACAGTTCTTTTGCAATTCTCATTAGTGTGACACGTTTCTTCATTTACACAGGTTTTTGTCAATGGTTTCTCTCAGATGGCATGTGGATATACAACGATCTCATTTGTGTGTCACATCAATTTATGTGGTAGGCATTTCTCAGGGGGGGAAAAAACCAATCAGCATTGTGATAAATCCCTCTTTCTTTATTGGCCACAGATACTCAGTAATGAAATCCTATTAACATTATCTCCCCATTTCTATTGGAATCTAACCTCTTCCTTTCTGGTAGCCTCTGTCTTTGTACAAGACCTCATTACTTCTTGCCAGGCAATTGTAGCAATATCCTTATTCTAGTCTTATTTCCTGTTCCCCTTTGAATCAATTCTGTGGCCACAGGATTTGCAGTGAAAGATGAGGGTGATGTTCTCAGGATGGCTCTTGTTAGTTTTCGACATTGAGAAAAATGCTCTTAATCTGAAAGGCCTGGCATCAGTTTCCCTTTTCTAAAGCCTTTGCCAGTGACTGGCTGGAAGGTATCTTTTGATACTCTGGGTAAGACTTGATATGCTGCTGCTGTGGTTGGGTGCTGGTGACCCCCAGACAAGAGAACAGATCCCTGCCTGATCCTGCCCATTCTCACCACCGTTGTTAGGGTCGTACGGACTGTCTCTTGGAGAACTTTCTTTTGTGCGGATCCTCTACTTGACCACACACGGTGCCCTTTTCTTGGGGTGGTATCTCGGATGGCATATCCAGAGTACGCGAGGCAACCGCTGCCCATTCTTCCCTCTAAGAAGCAGTCAGGCTGTCCTTTCAAGACAGATTTGTCGGTTCTTCTGGCAGGCCACGGGACTCTTATTATTCTTCACCAACACCGTAACTCAAATGCATCAATTCTTCTTCGGTCTAACTTATTAATTGTCCGCCTGTCACATGCATATGAAGTAATGGAAAATACCATGCCTTGGGTCAATTGCCAAGGTAAAAGTGTGGATAAATCCTGCTTCAATGTATTTTCATGTAAATGTTCTGGTCAATTATTGAGCCATTGTAAGTCTCAGTGGTAGAAGACATGGGAGGAGATAAACTCTTTCCACTGAGTTTATAATCCAGTCAAATCTCTCCTTCATTCTTCCCATTCCAGGCTTCACCTGTTCATGTGAAAGTCAACTAATGCATTTTCTGACCCCACCCAATATTCCAGCAAATGGCTCCTGTATTACACAAGCCCGAAGTAACCTATAAAAAACTTGTACCAAATATAAATTCTTCATTGAGAATCACAATGCTCTATTATTCTAATGTTGTGTCTTTGTGTGGTAATGGTGGTGGTACATGTGTGTGTCCCTGTCATCTGTTCTTAATTGTGAGTTTCTGAAGGGCAAGGACTGCATCTATTTAAATCGCTTTATATGGAATCAGGGAAACCACATCTACGGTTGTTTACATGAGGCTGAAAAGTTCTCATAGAATTTCACATCACATGAACATTAGTGAGAAGACTCCACTGGGTCTTTGCCCTTTCTCAAAGAGAAGTTGAAAGCTAATACACAATATTCTATGGTGATGATAAATTTAAGGGCAGGGTGCGTATGAACTGGTCTTGAGTTGTGGTTTCTGCCTCCCATAATGTGCTCTTGAATTTATTTCTCTCTTTAAAAGTCATTTTTATTGAAGATTTGGGAAGAGTAAATGAAGGTTGAATCTTTAGGGATCTAGGAGTAGTCTTCCCAGGTAGCATAGTCTTTTTATCACATAATCAACTTGTGTTGACACTCTTCTAATGGTATTTCATTTTCAAGTCTCTTCCACAAAACCAAGAGAAAAACATAGCAAAACAAAACCCTTCACTCATTCATACTCCCGCTCACCTTTCTCTTTTTCTCCCTTGATAGCCAGCGTTGACATTGCTTCTTCAATGCAGAGTTTGCCTCTTACAGCTGTATAGAAATAACCAATGACTTCTTATTACCCAATGTCTACTTGCTTGTTGATACAAGAGGACACTTTTCAATCTCTTTTTCAATGTACTGTCCATATCAGTTGACACCACCGAGTTTACCTTTTTGCAAATCTCTCAATCTTGCTCTTCCTATCACCTTCATGAGAAGGCTCAATCTGGTTTTTCTCTTTTTCCCCTGCTTGCTATTTCTTAGCTGTTCTTTTTTTTAGAAGTTTGCATCTGGGCTTCTACTTCTATCTTCTCTTCTTATTCTGCAAAAAGAGATGATCTCTTTCATTCCTATGGCTTCAATTATGCATTTATTTTTCTAATTTACATTTATTTCCTGAGCTCTAGGATCACATAGCAAACTTATAATGGAAATATTTACCTTGAGTACCTCAATTCTCAACTGCCCTTCCTTCCGTTCTTTGCCAATTGCTCATACTAGGAATTTATGTGTCATCTTTATATTCTCTATTCTCTCTCTCTC